GGACACCTCAGGCCTCGCCAGCACGAAACTCAACATCACAGTCACAATTGGCAAGTTTAGCTGTAAAGACATGCGACCCTACAATGTGGTTGAAAATCCGGGGTTCTGTGAATTGATCCAAACATTGTGTAATGTTTACATTGAAAATGGCACTTGATTCAAATAAAAGGTTAATACATTTGTCATTAATTGATTTCCTTACAAGAAACCGGGATCTCGGAAACTTTGCCTGCACTGTCCAGTACAGTTACTGAATCGATTTCAAGTCACTGAATCAAATCGTTCTAAATTAACCCAGATTGTCCATGAATCGAATCAGCAACCATGAATCGCGATTCCAATCGAATAGTTGTTAAAATGAATCGTTACACCCCTAGTGGAAACGGATCTGGACTCCCCCCCCCTCCTCTCACTGGTCCTCCAGCCTACGTGAGCCCGCAGTCTCTTCAGCAGGAAGCAGCACAAGCAAACCTTCCTCGGCTTGACAACAGCCCACCAGAAGGGAAGCGAGATTCAACCTCCAACACCAGCCAGACGCCCTTTTCACCTACTGTGACCCGCTAGCAGGCTCAACAAAGGCGGGCCTTGCTCAGAGGAAAAAAAAGGAAGCTTCTTTTCCAGTGGAAGGGGGCGCAAGGGCCGATGCTGGTCTTCAGACCCTGGCCAGATGCCGATGTGACCAAGGCAATGAGCCACGTCTGCAGTCCTAAGGACAATCTTGCTAAGTGGGAGACTGATCTTCAGCAATTTGTCAGACAATACCATCCTAGCATGTCAGAGCTGCGGCGTCTGATGTGCAGACTTCTGACACATGACTACTATAAAGTTCAGAGTGTGTTCACCACCGCAAGAATGACTGCTCGCCTTAAAGATCCTGATTGTGAGCATGGCACAGATGTGGACATTAGAAGTGCTGTAGATGCTCTCATTGTGTTGGTAAAAGAAACATTTCCCTCTGAGACTGACCCCCCCCCCCTCAGTCACCTCTATGACACAAGAGCCATGCAGCAAGAAACATGCAGCTCATTCCTGGCACGCCTGACGACAGCTTTTGACATCCACAGTGGCCTTAAGCGACCTGATCCAATGGGGGCACAGCCCCTCATGCCATATGAAGTCCATCTAAAAGAACATTTTTTAAGCAGAATGAGACATGAGCTTATACAGATGGTGAAAAGATCATGTGTAACCTGGAAAACGTTTGCTCTAGCAGACATCCTTCAGCAGGCTGAACACGCTGAAGATGAGTTACACAAGAAAGAGGACAAACTAAAAGGTTTTGAAAAGGCTCAGTATGCAATGTTTACGTGCTTGCAGAACCAACAATTTGCCCAAGGCCAACGTGGAAGAGGTTATGGAAGAGCTTGTGGCAGAGGCAGATCAGACTTACGGGAGTTATGATCCAAACATGTGTTACAATTGTGGACAACAAGGACATTGGCGAGCAGAGTGTCCTGAGCACATGAGGATGAGACACATCACCCGTTTGACTAAGGGAGGCAGAGGCGGACCCCAGAGACGGATCACTCCACCACAGAGGAGAAAGCACCCTACACACACACACTCATAAACAAAACAAATTAGTTAACACAACTACACACACATCTTAAATTGCATGTTGAGTAACTAATTTTTATATTTAGAAATTCCCATAATTAACTTTGATGATTTCTTGCCATCCGGTAACACTTTTAGTTGACTCAAGAGCATTTGGCATTGTGTTTGAGCTCAACATCAGACGGCATTTAAAAAAAAAAAAAAAAAAAGGAATAATAGAAGAAAAAGACTAAATCATTTTAGATGTTTAACTACAGGCCAAAAACCCTCCTGTATGTATATGGATGAAAACTATTAGCATATCTTGATGCATTAATTACTCATGACCATTGTTACGTTCCAGCTCCCAAAAGGGAGGGGAACATGACAACCCACTGCTCCGGCCCACCGGTGCCAGCAAAAGGGGTATGGAGTCGCAGTGGAGAGAAGGACAAACACCAAATACAGTATAACGCTTCTATCTAAACAAAAATAAATACACAAACAATAACTTTCTAGGAAAAGGGGAGGGCTGGCCGGACCGAAACAAAGAAATAAACAAAAAGGTCCCCACCCCTAACCTGTACTAACCCCCAATTGAAAACACAATCTCTACCTGGCACACGGTCAAGGCGCCCTAACCAAACGTACAGGTGGTGGTCCGCTCAGGTCTAAACTGGTGTTTCTAGACAGAAGTAAACCTACCTTGTCTGTTCTGTGCTAGTTTAGGGCTGTCTGGGGGGGGGTACTGTCACGTTGTGGTTCACTTCCTGTCTTATTTTGTAGTTTTCTGCCACTCGTGTCCCTGGGTAACTTTACTTCCTGCCTGGTCCTGTCATCCCCTGTGATTGTCGGATTGTTTCCCCCTGTGTCCAATCACCTGAACCTCCCTAGTGTATTTCAGCAGTGTGTGTTGTTTGTTACTTGTGGCGTCATTGTCTTTTGTCCTGGATGTTCCTCATTCCTGCCAGCCTTTTTCCCCCCGGTACTTATGTGTTTTTGCCCGTTGGCCTTCTTTATTTCGCCTTTTTGACTATTAAAGTGGTTTTTCGTTAACTCTGCATTTGAGTCCTGCCTTCCTACCCAACCCTGACACATGTAAAAATTGCGCTAACACACAGTAGAAGATTACATGCGTAAACAGTCATTACATTGCACATCCCATGTAAGCATAGGGCAAGATAGAAGGTATGTGGAAGTGGGGCATGACCAAAAGTTGGAGAAAGAGATTATGGTTGAACAATGTGTATTGGTCAGGAGGCTGCTGCGGTGTCTGTTTCTCTTTCCCAAAGAGATAAAAGTGTTCACACGAGTAGGTGTACACAGAACAGTAGAGCTTGTCAAGAAATACACACAACACGCAGACTTGTATACCCACCCAAACAAGAAACATAAGTTGGTTTGGTTTTTCCCTTTTATTGGGCGCAAAATTATTCAGAAAGAGGCACCTCTCTCGTCCATGGTCCTGGACAGTGCCAGACAGTAGGCCTTGCTTGCGTGCTCTCTTCCACTTTTATGCTAAGTTGTCTCACGGAAGAGATCACGTGGGCAAAGGGGGGATGTGCACTGCTATAAATGAGCATGCTGATATATTGTGCTAACCTCTCCCCCTCACTCTCAGCACTGCACGGAGAGGTAAAAGCGGCGCTTCCATCCACAGCTACAGCACCACCTGAAACCAGAAGACTGGGTCCTCATTAAAGGATCACCGGAGAAAGCACTGGAAGCAGAGACGCTACACGGGGCCCATCCAAGTACTCCTGACCACGGAGACGGCAATTAAGGTGGAAGGGAAAGCGACGTGGGTCCAAGCCAGCCACTGCAAACGCATCCGGGAGGCAAAGGAGCACCGTCTGGTTACGGTTAAGGGGTTGAAGAGCGCCTCCCCCCACTGCAGTGTTCCAAGATACCAACGAGCCTGGCAGAGACAGCAAAGACGACAGCCACCCGAAGAACAACGATGGAAGAAAGATCTCCAAAACCAAAGAACACTTCTAGGAAGCATGGTTGGAGCCTGAGCCACATTAGTACTGATTCCCCTCATGATCAATGGGTTACAACCTCCTTATGTGAACATCAGATTCCAGCCTTCTCCACCGCTCCAATAGGGAATTTCAGGAAGGGAAAATAAGTTTCCACTGTCCAGCTAAACAATGCGACAAGACTGAGTGTTTGCCCTAGACAATAGAACATGATGCATGGGTTAAAATAGAAAGTCACGTAATTGAAATTGTGTGTGTTGCCGGGTTGGGAAGAGACAGAGTACTGTGTGGGTGCACGGAAGATTTGATTTAGAAGATCCACCATTCTGGTGCAGTAAACCACGATCGTGTAAGGAGATACCAGCCTAGACTGGCTCCAGCAACTGGAGGGAGACATGCAATAAAGTTACCAGCTTGTCAGTGAGACACAGCCTAAAACAGTACAACCTGAAGTAATTTTTTGAGGCTGGTAAACCACCGGCCCTGACCTCCCGCAGGCCAGAACAGCCCCCCACTCAAGCAACTTGGAGGCGACGGTTCTTTCACTGGTCAGTCCTGAACTCAGAGGACTTTAGGACTCAGTGTCAGTCAAACGACACTTGCATGGTGACTAAGTCCTAAATATGACAAGTTGGGAATACCCGTTCTGGTGCACTCAACCTGCAGACTGTCCAACAGAACCAGCCCCCCATTTCACTCGGTTAGATTGGCAGTATGCGTGCAAGTAAGCCTAAAGTTAAGAACTTCCAACCTCTACACCACTGTTCGAGCATGACAATATTGCGTTATTCCTATTATGAATTTGAAATGTCAACAAAGGAATGTCTCCAACTTCTCCACTTCATCTAGAGCACCTATGCTGGTTCCTGTTCCATTCACGGAAGCCAACCGGGTTGTCATGGGCTGACCAGGGCTGAATACACAATTTCCACCACATCCGACATGTTAGATTCTGGGATGAGCTTTAGGTAATCGGCTTAAGAATGCAGGTGATCTGAACAAAGCTATTTCGATAAATTGCCGTGGCCGTCCAGTTTTTAAAGTTTGTAGGGCAGCCTGCATTGTCCTGGATTAGGTTTTCTCCACTAGGTCATTTCTTGCCCTGCTTAGCTTGCAACGCACTTCATTAGGCTGAGTTTCATCCAAATCAGAAACATAACTTGTGACGGCACTCTATATTAGACCGTGGTTACCAACAGCATCATGAGGCACAATCATTTCAGCATCTGTAAGCCTTTGTTCAGTTTTACAGCTGGTGGAATTATAGATGTATATTCAAATATATCATGAGCAATATGAAGCAGCCAGTGCGATTAAACATAAAATGTACAGTTTGTCAGCGACTTATGAGCAGTCTTGCTTCCAATGCAAGTTAGACTAACCATTTGCGGCCCGTAGATGACTTCTCCAAGACATGTTTTCTGCTGGACAAGCATTTTAAAGAAAAATGATTCAATTTAAAAAGAAAAAAGTAGACAGTCATCGTCTTCCAGGGAATTAAAATATTTTATTGGACATTTGAACAGGAAATGAAAACCAGACTGGTGTTTCTACAGTGGAATATTTTCTGTCATACTCATCGAAATATACATAGTAGCGGCAGCCCTGAGCAGCAGGCACTGACAACATAAATAGAAAACTGCTGTGTGAGCTCTGGAAGTTTAGAGGGGAGCAGGGAAGTGTCAGCCGCTCAGTGGAAGGATGAGGTTACTCTGTAAGGCCCAGCTTCTTCTTTAGGGACTCTGGCATCTCAGGGGGAGGAGGGCGGGGCAGGCGGAAGTAGACCTTGACAGAGTCATAGATGAACCACTGCAGGGCGGTCAGAGTACCAATCATGATGATACGGGCCACCAGACCCTTCCACACACCTGAGGGGAAACAACCACATGATTCACACTGCCTGCTGTTAAAAAAAAAAAAAAATCAGACATTACTCAAAACAGGCTCATTTCTGTTAATCCACAGAATGAAGACGCCTCACAATATTGTGAAACAGAAATCTAGGGCTGCCACAACGAATCGAAATCTTTAAAATTTGATTATTAAAAGCGTTGGCAACAAATTTCATTATTGATTTGTTGTGTCGCGCGATTATTACGCCACTCAATGAGTTGCCGAGATTAGTGCGGAGCAAAAATAAAAGTGCCGATGTAGAGGAAAGCAGCCAGCAGCACCAGCAGTTTCACATAATTCACATGTCTGTCCCCCAGGCTTGCAGCACCAGGAGCTCCCTGCCTGTAGAGGACAGGGTTGCCAGTGCTGCGGGTGGGCTGAAGGACAGGTAGACTGTTCTCACACGCCAATGACTCAAGCACCTCCAACTGTACAGCCAGCAAGCTGCTGAGGAGCACTGCTCAGAGAACAGCATCCTCCAGAGGTGGATCTAAGGAGCGTGTTTTCCAGAAATAAAATGACCAATAAATCAAAGTAACCAATCCCATCAGCCAATTGGTTGGTCAGAAAAATGGAATACTTAAGAATAGTAAAAAGCCAGTCCACTTACGCCCAAACACCCTCCTCTGCAAACATTTTGGGGACACACTGTCTAAGGTTGTTGGCGTAGCCAGGCTTGGTCTGGATACGAACTTTAACAGCCTCCATGGGAGCCAGAGCAATGTCTGCAAAGAACTCTGCGCTGGCAGAGGCAGCCAAGTACAGCGATGTCCTCCACAGGTAGGTGTTCTCCTGTCGGATGAAACCATACAACAAAAAGGTCAGACAAGAAGCTCAGGTTCCCCTGACGACCACATGACTGGAAAAAGTATACTTTTATACAGACCTACAGTGCATCCGGTAAGTATTCACAGCGCTTCACTTTACACATTTTGTTATGTTACAGCCTTATTCCAAAATGGATTAAATTCATTATTTTCCTCAACATTCTACACACAACAACCCATAATGACAAAGTGAACAGTTGTTTGCAAATTTTTGCAAATCTGTTAAAAATAAAGAACAAAAACATAACATTTACATAACATAACATATTGAGCCTTTGCTCAATACTTTGTTGAAGCAACTTTGGCAGCAATTACAGCCTCAAGTCTTCTTGGGTATGATTCCAGAAGCGTGGCACACCTATTTCTGGGCAGTTTCTTTGCTGCCAAAGGTGCTTCAACAAAGTATTGAGCAAAGGCTGTGAATACTTATATACAGGTTATGTTTTCGTTCTTTATTTTTAACAGATTTGCAAAAATGTGCAAAAAACAGTTTTCACTGTCATTATGGGTTATTGTGTGTAGAATGTTGAGGAAAATACTGAATTTAATCCATTTTGGAATAAGGCTGTAACATAACAAAATGTGGAAAAAGTGAAGCGCTGGGAATACTTTCCGGATGCACTGTATGCGTGCAGACTTACCTCTCCCAGTAAGTCACTGTAGAAAACCTTGAACACTTCATAGAAACCAAACTTGCACAGTCCCTGCATGGAATAGCCGATGAAGGTGGGGGCCCAGCCCTTTGCCAGTCCTCTGACACCATCTTCCTTAACTGTCAGTGCAAAGCCATTGCCGATACTCTTGTACTTATCTGGGTCCACCTGAGGAAGCAAAGTCACTGATGAAACATATCATCCAAACAGTGGCAACTCTGGTATAGTATGTCAAGAAGCATATGCTGACATGGTTAATAGTATAGGCCAATACATGAGTTACAAGTTGAATGTTTTCTCCTATATGCATTTTAAGTGCCAAGCGTCTATTTGAATCACATTTTCTAGGCAGCGATAGAAACTGTTTATAATTATTGGTGACCGAAGCACTGTTAAACAGGAGCCAAAAAATTCATTGCATCACTTCATCGGTTTAGACAAATTAGTTAGTTTTAAAATTCATCAAAAGGCATCCAGCAAATATATTCCTGGCATGAAATAACCACATCATGAGGCTAGAGCTAAATCAGCAACAACTGTATTGTGAATACACATTTCCCCACCACAGCCTGTTAGTTATATGTATGGTGCAATACTGTAGATGGGACATGGTACCATGGGTCTCAGGAGCTGTCGGCTACTCGTTGCTACTGTGAGGTTCAGCTTCCATACAAACCTGCAGGCGACACTTGACAAGATCGAGGGGCACCACAGCTGTGTGTGTGACGCCGCAGCTCAGGATACCCCCAAAGCCACACAGGGCATAGTACTTTGAGGAGCCAAACTCGCAGCTGACATCCTCTGTGGTAGAAGGGAAGGGACACACAGCAAACATGCAACATGCAGGGTCACATGCCGCACAGGACAAAGAAACACCATACCAGAGCCACAAAAATTGAAGAATTTTCACTTGGACACGTCCAATCCAACAGGCCATGTCATTTTTTTTAATATAAAATGTTAGAATAAACTTCTGGAGACCAGTTGGGCCATTTACTACAACTTAGCCATATCACTTTTTCAAAAAGATTTTTAGAAAGTCACTGATCTTTAGGACAATTTTCTGGCAGCAGAACAAGCTTAATGCTACGTTAACACCAAAAGCAAGGCAAATGTTTGCATGTTCTTAATTCGGGTTCCGTTTAATTCGTTACGTGTCATTTAGCTGACGCTAAAAAAGCGACTTATGTTGCATTTTTAACCCATGGTTTTGATTGGTCATGATTTTCCCCGGGGAGCAGTTGTCTCTTGCTCAGAGACACTTCGACATGGGACATGGAGCAGCCAGGGTTCGAACCACCAACCTTGCAGGTCCCGGCGCACCCTCTACTCCATGTGCCACCCTGTCGCTCCGGAAAGGGGGAAGGCTTATCTCTATCATTTCTGATATCCACCATGGAAATAACCACTATTTCTGCTCTGTACTTGTTGCGGAAACCACAAATGGTGTTGTATGGACTCATGACATCCATCGCCGCGCACAACTCTGATTTTCACAGACTCCTCCAGGAAGTGCGCCTAGATGACTGGTGCTTCCAGCACTACTTCAGGCTAACCAGCCGCCAGTTTGATGACCTGTTCAGTCGGATCGAAGCCAGCGTCTCGGTTACAGGCGTTCAATTTCAGCTGTGCCTGTCCGTCTCTGGTGAGCGTCTGTTTCATATAGTACAATTGCGCTCTGACAGAGTCATCCAAATCTTTCACCAAAGTTGAAATAACTTTGCTCCTTTTGCACTTGCTGTTGAAAATTCACTTCCTCCGCAACCATTTGTGCATGGTCTTTGTGGTCTAGCGTCTGCATTGACTTTACATGTAATCCAATCGCGAATAATTCACTTTGCTTTTGGTATGAATGTAGAATAAGAGATTGGTAGTCAGTTGGGTAAATATGCATACCACCACTGTGGTCCTACAAATGTAGGATGAAAATAAAAAGAATAAACTTCAGTCAGTGTTCAGAAACATTCAATAACTGATCATCTGTACATTAACTGGTTTTGTATATCCTTTATAGAATCTAGACACACATTAGCGATGGGCAGTAAGGCCAAAAATGATCACGGTATTTTGTACATTTTGTCCCTCTGGTCTGGCACTCCTGACCTTCAAGAGTTCTCTACTGGGGAGGGGAATCATTCAATGCATACGAACACTTGGGACACATGCTACCATGTTATGATCACTCCAAAAGCATTGGAATCAAAACTCAATGACAAAAGAAACCAATACACCACAGCTGTGCAGCCCTTACGCCCATGCATTGGGACATTTTTAAGTTAAATAAATAAATAAATAAAATACAGCCATGGGTTGATGGGGTGTGACGTTAAAAAGGCTCTCTGCCACGAAAACAGACCTGCAATCTGCACTTGACCAGATCAAGGGGAACGACAGCGGTGTGTGTGGTACCACAGCTCAGAATCCCACCAACACCGCACAGGAGGAAATACTTCTGAGAGCCAAACTCAATACTGTCTCCCTCTGAAGAAAAACATGTGAAACTTGAAGTTTAAGTCAAGTATTGAATGGGTTTTTAAAAAAAAAGGGGGCATTTTTGCCACCGAGCAAAATGATAGGTATAAACTTGGTTGGTCACATGTGAGCTGATATAAGTGGAGGTGGATTAGTGGCTGAAGGTTGTAAGGAACTTGAAAAGTATGGGGTTCTCTTTCAACAACCACCAGCAATAAGGACAATTCTGCCAGACCCTGAGCTGATCAGAGGTCACGTGTGCTTTTTCAACCACGGATTGGAATTATGTTAATTTTAGGGCTCTAATAAAATGACCGTTCAATTGGTTTTGCATACACTATTTGCTATTAAGTGCTTTATGTCAAATACGGGTCGCTGTAGTGCTATGGCTAAATATCACTTTGTCCTTCCTCGTCCTCCACAGGCTGCTTGAATGTAGCAAGGGCCTCATAGCAAACTGACTCAAGAGAAATCAATGATCTTTACTAGCGATTTAAAATGATCTAACGATTCGTTAAAACCGGCACAGTGAAACCTACATTACATTTACTGAATATATGACGTTTAACGCAGGTAAAACGGTCGCAACGGGGAGAATGTTGTTGGCTAATCTAATCCAGCTACTGCTAGCCCTTCAGCCATCCTGTGGACGAGATTACCTTCTGCAGTAGCGGCTGCTACCAGTCTGCGGGTCTTCTGGCCATTTAGGCTCTGTGGAGGTTCTTCCACTTTCTGGAGGGAGAACAGGGGAGCGCTGAACGGATTGCCCCGGGCCAACTGGGTCAAAGCGGTAGGGTACATGGTGACGTCCTGCCTGCTAGCCGACCGCTGCTGCAATGAGCCACAAGTTAGCTGTGCTGACTTAAGGCAAATGAGAGACGCAGGTTAAAGCTAACTGGAAAAAAAAAAAACACACACACACACACACGAACTGATGTCACGCGCTAGTCAGCTTGGTTTAGGTAGAGATGAACGATGCCAACTAGATAATGCGTAGCTAGGTTAGATTATTGAATGAAAGTAAATTAGCGGCAAAAATCTTTACGATGTACCGTGCTAAATGCTAGGCTAGAATAAATGCTAAGCTAACATGACCGCTGCAAGTTTGAGGCCTCATTCTAAACGAAGAGGTTGAAGTATCATTCACAAAACGGCTAGCACAAGTCACGGCTCTTTAGAATAACTAGCCTAAGAATAAGTGCCATATGTGCGTTTTTTAAAATAAATAAATATTCTTACTTTCTCAGTGTTTTACGATTGAGACTCCGCTGCGCTACGACCGCCTGTTCGGAAAGGTCGAATGAGCTCGGTTTATATCTATTTGTCCTTCAATGACGTAGGCTAGAACCCTGGGCGGGTACTTCCTATTATGTGTCCCATAAGAAAACCCTGCAGACCTGTCAATCAGCACCTCAGGTCCAATCACAAGATGTGATTGTGGTCTGTAATGGCGGTGGTTGTCGGTTACTAGAACTATTGCAACAAATGAGAGATTTCCCACAGTTAACTATTGGCTGCGGAGTCCGTAGCCGTTGCTCAATACTTGAACGCCGAGAACGGACTTAAGTGGAGAAAGAATTTAGGAGAATAGACGTAAAGCAGGGGCTGAGTGGATGCCATAACCACGTTAACTGGTCTTGATAATGCATTTGATTTAGTATTTTTACTATCAAGCTTTTGTTTTGTTTTCAGCTAAATAAAAATGGTATATGAATCACCAGCATAAGTAATATATCAGACATTTAACATTAGCCAAAATATCTCATGGATCAGATCAGAATGGCTGTCCAGTCAAGCATCGGTCTAAAAGAAGCTGTAGTTTGTGGTGCTGCAAAACTTAACTGGATCATACTGACAAGTGTGCATGTATTCATATTGGATGGAAGAAACACAAAACGTTACTAAGGTAAACCTTTCATTCAGAGCTGTTGCATTACATCATACTGAATTATCGTTATAAATGTTTCATAAATAATATAGGTTTGATAGAGTAATAATTATACATTTAATAAATAGGGCTACATTTCACATATACACAGTTTGTCACCTACAGTTTTGCACCCGTGCTGCATGCAAGCTGCTCCAATGCCTCTCTGCCCGTACCTGCAGAGCCCGCAGTAACTGCCGGTAGTGGGTAGTTACATTAATACAGTAGGTACGGGATTGGTATTAAAGGGTTTTCGAGAGCTACGGTGTAAATGTATGGTATTTGCTAGGAAAGTAGCAAAGATTAGGAAATACAAAAACAAATATTAATCATGTGAACTGTCAGGATCCTCAATCCCCCCGAGTTGGTTGATGAGAAGAATCGCAGCACGTTGATCAATTAAAGTCAAAAGTTAACATTTATTTAGAAGAGAAAAAGATTACATGAGCAATTCTCCGCAGATATCTGACTCTAACTATTGCTTGCAAGCAGGAGGTCCAACACACCAGCACGTATCTCAGCGCTCGGCATAATGACGTCTCCGAGCAGTGAAAACGCTGAGTTTTTATACACATGTGAAGAACATTCTCCGTGCCAGTTACGAGAAGCTACAAAGCAGGTTGAGATAAGAACCCAGGTGAAGCTGAGGGTAGCACACACACACACAAGATCCTCCTCAGTGGCCGGTGCAAATCATTATTAATTGACATAAAGTAAAAACGTGGATCTGGAACGAAAGCTCCGAATAAGATATGAACCAAGGCCATGAACAGGAGTCCTTTGTTTTGAAGCTTCTACGAGATCGAGTTAACCGCTCTCCCTTCTCAGTGCGCAGCTGCAAAGCAACATTTTGTATCATGCTGCTCCTTGCACTTCAGGGTCAAATACAGGACACTTGAGACACGGCCTTAGCACAAAACAATGTTATAATATATTTTACCAGAACATGCATCTCACAGAACCCTCTGAATAATAGTGGGCCCACCCAAGTCCACTATGTTTTGCTGGCTCTGTGGCACTCGAAGATCTGCTGATGCGTTATAAATCAAATGTATTATCAAATGTATTAGGGCAAACCTACCACTGCTGTACAAGTGAGTAATAAATAAAAAAGAACCATAGTTTCTCATGTATGTATTGGAATTGTGTACGCAGGAGCACACAAATGCATCCTCATGAATACGGTAAAAATGCAATAGTTTATTTGTAACAGTGAATACATAATTAACTAGAATACAAAAGGATGTTCAATTATTATATAAGAAAGAAAGAAAATATTGATTTAGCAAAAAAAAAATGGACTGGACTTGTTAGCAAAGATGGTCATACAAGGTACAGAATAAAATACAGGTCAAAACTCCATCCTCAAGGTTGTAAATACATACTGTAAGTGTGGGTGCTCAGACATGCAGGTCACTAAAAACGTGAACGTTGCTTCTCTTAACAGGCGCTGTAAATGAATTTAGATATAAAAGGAAAAGACAAAATATTGAGGAAAACCGGTGAAAAAGGTCATGTCCTTCCAGAATGGCTATAATATAAACTTGAAAAAAAATTCTCAAAAATACTGAAGAGATCCATCATGGTTTCAGTTCAGGTCAGATTTTGCCGTACAATCAGCGCCACCGCCTCGCCGGCCGTACCGTTCGCCCGTCAGACCGTCAGTGCCCCCGCTGCCCCCCCGTCGACCGCAGCGTTCGCCGGTCGGACCGCCAGCGTCGCAAATTTAAGTATAATATTATAAGCATAACACAAAATGAACCTTTCTTACTCCGGTAGTAAGGAAGCTTTTTCAAACTCTAATCCAAATGAAAACAGGCTTCTGGTTGCATGAAGGGGAATTGAGATCTGAATACCTGGGATTCTGTACTTTAACCTTTATGGCAGTGCAATACTCAACTGAGTGCCTGTATATTAAAAGATTTTATTTTGTTGTTGGGCCCCTCACCATGGGGCTTGTGACAAAGACAGATGTGCCCTACAGTGACCTGTAGGGCTAAAGCCTGATTAGGAAAGAATCACCCCCTTTCTTCCTATGGGTCCCTGCAAAAAGTGAGGCGGATCCCCACGCACTATTGTGAGTTAAACATAACTGGGAGGAAACACACTATTCACAGGTAGGCGTGTATAGGCACTTAGTTTAGGGTTTTATAACCTGGTTTTGTTTGTTTTAAGCTTACTGTATTGTTGAACGAGTCATCGTGCCTTTTTACGGACTGCTTTTACGTCTTGCATAAATATTCCTGCATTGTAATGCTGTGGAAATGCTGAGTCCGCCTACAGGTGGGAATCTGACCATCTGGTGTCGTGGTGCAGCCAGAACAACCTGGAGCTCAACGCTCTAAAGTCAGTGGAGATGGTTGTGGATTTCCGGAGAAACAGAGCCCCACCTTCCCCCATTACCCTGAAGAAATTCAACCTGCCAAAGAAGATGATGGTCCACTTCTACACGGCCATCATCAAGTCCATCCTCTGCTCCTCCATCACCGTCTGGTACGCTGCAGCCACAGCCAAGGACAAGGGCAGGCTGCGTGTCATCCGCTCTGCAGAGAGGGTGATCGGCTGCAATCTGCCGTCCATGCAGGACTTGTTCGCTTCCAGGTCTCTGAAGCGAGCTAAAAAGATCGTAGCCGACCCCTCTCACCCCGGACAAAACCTGTTTGTGCCCCTTCTATCTGGCAGGAGGCTGAGGTCCATCAGGACTAAGACCTCCCGCCACACGAACAGTTTCTTCCCGTCGGGATCAACAGAGCCCTGTCCCCCAATGACTGACTCGGACATTCCACCGGTCACTCTCTTTCATACTGCACATGTTTATTGCAGCTCTGTAAAGATGAGTCAGAGAATGGGACATACGGCAGGATAATGTAAAGGGAAACAGAGATGTGCTTGATGTGGCGGCGGCCACGAGTACAGAAAATGTGGACAGAATGAGAAAATGAAATGCTGTAACTGTGGAGGTGAGCACATCGCTGCGTTTGGGGCCTGCCCAGTTCAAATGCAAGCAAAGGAAGTGCAGAAGTATAAAATACTCAATCAAGTGTCTTATGCGGAAGTAGTTAAAAAAGTGAAGGAAATTGATAAAGTAACATCCAGGAAAAACGCTCACAAATAAAGCTGGGGGTAGACAACTCCCTGTGGACTGTCCCCTTGCCCTGAATCTAAGTCAAACAGAGGTAAACCCATACACGAAAGAGATAAATGAGGACATGCTAATTGTTAACTAAATGTGCTTTGTTGCATTTATATGCAACTATGAATTTGGCAATGCAACAAAAAACAAGGGGGAGGATGTGCAACATGTATTAAGGATACCTTAGCACATAGGGAAATCAATGTACCAGAGCAGTACAAATGTGCGTTGATAGAGATACGCAGTCCCAGAGGAGATATTGGTTGTGGACTTCTATAATCCGTGTAAAAAGCTCTCTATGGGAATGTTCCACAACATATGAGGAAATAATAGAAAAGGGGAAATTGGGTGTAGAGATTTTAATGCTCACTATGGGAAAGTGAGTGTACAGATAGCAACAGATCGGAAGTAGAAGACTTTATAGAGGAAAGAGCATTAGTTTGTCACTCAATGCAGTATCCTGCTTGGATCTCACCTCTGTCTCCAGAAATATCTTGTGTGGATGGGATATATTGAGCAAGTCTAACATAGGAAGTGACCATTACGTATTATGCTCATTAAATTGCAGAATCTTTACACAGGAGGGTAAGGTGGACACTCAGGTGGCGGTACGGCTCTCTGCCTGTCTGACTGACATCTCTCAGTGGATGTCCGGTCACCATCTGATAATCAACCCCGTTAAGACTGAACTACTTCTCTTTCTGGGAAAAGATTCTCTGGCCCAGGACTTGACGGTCAAGTTTGGCAACTCCGTGTTAACGCCAACATTGACTGCTAGGAACCTCGGCGTGACACTTGACAGCCAACTCTCCCTGACTCCCAAGATCAAAGCGACAACACAATCCTGTAGATACACGCTCTACAACATCAGAATATGTCCCCTTCTCATTTAGAAGGCAGCGCAGGAACTGATTCAGGCTCTTGTCATCTCATGCCTGGACTCCTGCAACTCACTCCTGGCAGGTCTCCCTGCTACCGCCATTTGACCTCTGCAGCTCATCCAGAATGTAGCAGCTCGACTGGTCTTCAACCTTCCAAAATTCTCCCACACTACTCCACTCCTCAGCTCTCTTCACTGGCTACCGGTGGCTGCCCACATCCAGTTAAAAACATACCATGCTGTGAATGGATCGGTCCCAGCTTATATCCAGGACATGGTCAAACCCTACATCCCGACCCACACTCTCCCCTCAATAAAGAGGTCAGGCCCGAGACTGCGGTCATGCATTTCAAAATAAAATGCACCTATATTTCAGGCGTTGCGGTAAAACAGCCAAAAAGGCTTGCACAGCCAAAAAGGCACCAATCGTCATTTCTCAATGGAGTGTGATATCCAGTGTTGGGCAAGTTACTGAAAATGAGTATTTAGTTAGTTACTAGTTACTTCTTTTAAAGGTAATTGAATTACTTACCAGTTACTGTGTATCAAAAGTAATTAGTTACTCTGGAAAGTAACGAGTTACTTTTATGTCTGCTTTTTAAATGTAATGAATATAAATAGTACTGAACAGTCAAACACGAACATATTTTTTAGACCTATTTATTGTAATCAACAGGGCAACAGGCCTTCAAATCAAGCAATAGTACAAAAGTCCTTTACTTAATACAAAATAACTGTTTCAGGCATTGCCTGAAGGCAACTGACTCAACAGTTGATAAGGATGCATCTTATCTTCAAAATACCGCGCAATCAATTTATTCAGCTCTGCCAGGTTTATCGGCTGCGCTGCAGTCCGTGTAAAGTGGAGCCTTGGTTGTTTGCGTGGAGCGGCGCCTGGAGCATCTTTCATCATGAGCGACGCGATGCTGTTTACATGCACGTACGCCGACTATTCTGTGACACACAACGTTTGGTGGCTACAACTATTTTGTGCTGACAGGCAGCTATTTACTATTTGCCGGCCCTCCGCTTCGCGTCACAAACGAGAGTAACGCGAGTTACGAACTCATTTCAATTTCAGTAATTGTAACTCGTTATTTTATTTTAAAAAAATACTTCGTTACATGCTTGTTACCGCTAAAAGTAGTGGAATTACAGTAACGAGTTACTCCCAACACTGGTGATATCCCTATCTTTGAACTGTCTGTAAGAGCCATTATGATGGGTGTCAGGATCTGATGGAAGGGGGGGGGGGGGGGGTCAGCCTATATAGTGTAGGAACTTTTGGGCGCTCGGCAGGTGTTTCCAGCCGGGATAGAAAAAACGCCCACACGCTGGGTAGTGTCATGTAACGCTCCGGGTGGATGTATGGTAAACGTGTAACAGGAGTAAAGTTGGCAAATAAATTGACTCATTTTCAACAACACAAAGGCAACAGGACTCTCCGCTGGACTCTCCGCTGTTGTACGTGACATCAGTCAAGCCTAGTTTATGCTTCTGCGTTTTCAGAGCGACGCAAGGAAACGCAGATGCAAGACCCCCTTGCGTGTCCCTTGTGTGACTTTCCACACCTCCTTGCCCGCGTCCACTAAAGCCTGGTTTAAGCCTAGTTTATGCTTCTGCGTTTTCAGAGCGACGCAGACGCAAGACCCCCTTGCGTGTCCCTTGCGTGCCTTTTCACACCTCTTTGCGTGTGTCGAGCCATTTAAGCGACGCAAGCCTCCCGCAACGCACCAGGTTACGATTGGTCCGCTAACTACATCCTTTACGGAGTCTCACATTTCCGCTTTCATAGCCCGATACCGCCATTATTAAAACGAATAATGTTTACGAGAGAACGGATCAGATTGAAGAACTTTTGTCAGAAGAAATACCCAAATATGACCGCTTATACAAGCCGTCATTGGCGGGTTGTAGAAGCGGGTTGGATTCACGGAGGGAGATCTCCTCAAACGCCGTTTGCCGGTCGAGAGGTGCGCAAAGTTGTGGAGGAAAATACGGGACAAATGTGTCCGCGATGAAAAGCAGCAGTGGCGATGCACGGGAAATAAAGTCAATGATAAATAAATAAACAAATAAATAAATAGACGTGACTCTCTAGGTCATCTTCAACAAAACACGTCACTCCGCCTGTTGTTCTGGCGGTGAATTGCTCTGCAACACACGCAGAACCATGAATTGAAACGAGTGCGTCGACGCAAACGCAGAAGCATGCGCCGGCCTTGCTTCTGCGTTGCCGGTCGAGTTGTGGAGGAAAATACGGAACAAATGTGTCCGCGATGAAAAGCAACAGTGGCGATGCACTGGGCAATAAAGTCTATGATAAATAAATAAACCAATGACTTCCACACACAAAGACATGACTCTCTAGGTCGTCTTCAACAAAAACACGTTACTCCACCTATTGTTCTGGTGGGGTACTGCTTTGCAACACACGCAAGCCTTTTAGAACCATGAATTGAAACGAGTGCGTCGACACGACTATGCGTAAAGACACAGACGCAGAAGCATGAGTCAGCCTTTAAGTGTTCATATGTGCTGGGTTCCTGCGCACTTAACTGTGGCGGGAAATGAGCGAGGAGACAGGATTGCAAAGAAAGCGCTTAAGATCAGAGAAGAGGAAATACTGAATATTCCTTTGAGTAAAGGGGAAGCGAAAGCGGTCATGAGAAGCTGTGGGGGAACTATGGCAAAGGAAGGCATTATCATAACCTACAGAAATCCACAAATGCATTGTAAACATGTATGTAAATGTATTATACGATGGCTAAGATTCGGACACACAGGACTGAACCCAACTCTGTTCTTGATGGCAAAAACGGGATCAGATAAGTGAAATATTTGCAAGCAGACTAAAGACGTGTAACATGTTATCATGAAGTGCTGAAAATATAACACTGATAGAAACCTCTTGAAGGATAGAATTTGCCAGCAGGGACGAAACACTGCACACTCCGGTACAGTAGGTGGCGGTATGCACCTGGACAAGTTGGTTGCGATCCACCATTCAAAAGTGAACCATACGTAATGAGCGGTTAACAATAGGTTTTATTTTCATATTCAGTATGAAACCACAAATGGCAGATTGCGCGACTGTTTAGTTATTATGGCATTATCTCTTTAAATTTAGCGTTCATGCATTCCTATTCATCCAAATCTGCTGCTAAAAATAATGAAAAATACAACAACCCAGCTTTGTCTCAGTGCATTACTTTTACAAACTAACAGTAATGGCTTTGTTTATTTAATCACTGGACTTAATGGAGGACAAAAACCAAAATGGAGAAATTAAACCCAGCAGCATTTCTTACCTTTCTGCTTTGTCACAAAACAATAATATCTTTAATTTGAACAATTACTTCATATACAACCAGTAAACATTACAAAAGTAGCATATACTCAACGCAATATTCTTGATGAAATGAAAGTGCTTCACCTGAGCACAAACTGCAACTACCTACGGTATTCTTGTAACTAACTATGAACTGAAAAAAGCCTCGGTCCAGCTCTTTAAATATCTTAATTTTAAAACCCAAACCTGATTGAGAGGTTGGGTTGAAGGCTTTAGGGAAGTAAAAACAAAAAAGCAGACTGACAGTACGGAGCTATTGAGAGAGAAAGCAGGCAGCCGTGAGGTGACACTCTACTGCTTTACTCTGTAGCTCTTACTGTCCATATGACTTAAAATCACTGAGCGGGTATACTTGTGTGTGTAAGTTAGTCTATGACAGACAGGGCAGTCATAACATCCACACCAGTTCCTGATGGATGGAGATGATCTAGACTGCTCCTTGCTGGGGCCAGATAGAACACTGGAACACCCCTCAGCTCGTTTCCTTTTTGTTGTTCTTTCCTCTTATCATTCCATTTCCAAGAAGTACTGCTTTTTCCTCATGCTTAAATCTCAGGGGTCGTAGTGTACAGCTGCTCAGCGTTCTCTGCCCCCAGGTCCTCTAAGGAGTTAGACAGAAAATGAGAAAAAAAAAATAGAGGGATCATTAGGGATGGGACGGGTTTTTTCCGATACCGCTGCCTAAACAGATACTTTTTTTTCCTTCAAATTGAACAATATGTTAAACAACAGTGTAAATATAAATACATAGAGTACTTGACTTCAAACTACAGTGATGAATTTTTTTACTTGATGAACAATATATTAACTGTACAGTATAATCATAAAAAACTTTGACTAGCGTAGATACTGTATGTTATCTGACGAAAGGTTCCTCAATGAAGATGCAAAGTTTAGCATCTCAGACTTAATAAATTAGTTACCAGGGAGGACGCACTTCCACAGCCCATAGGTTTTCCCCACAGCCGTCTGCCACAGCCGGAGCGTGCCGTCCTCAGAGCCGCTGGCGTACAGCTCCCCATCCGGACTGAAGCGAACACAGTGCACTGGACCAAAGTGTCCTTTATACGACTCTGTAGACATAAAGTACAACTAAATTAAACCTTTCAAAGTTGAGTTAACTGTAGTCTAACAGGGGTTTAAATGACCCAGAGATTGTGATCTGGATGAAAAGGCTCCGCTCACCCAGCTCTTCCTTGGTGCTGTAGTCAAATTTGTAGAGCTTGAAGTCCTCTCCACCAGCAACAAAGAAGTCTTTCTCTGGGTGGAGGGAGGCTGAGTTGATGGGAGCTGGGGCCTCCACTGTCTTGATGAGGTCCAGGCTGGAATATGGTAAAAATCATTCTATTTAGTTGATGTCATGGTGGGAATGCTACATGTTTGTAACATAAAGCAATAGCTTAGTCAGTAATAACCATCTGAATACATTTTTAGTTTTTATCTGTATTGTATTTGTATGTAAGAGAATAAAATAAATTGTGATATGAGCTCAGACAACGTTGCTTCGCTGTTATGGATGACCATCAAAGAAACAGTAACAGAGCTAATTGTTCTCTTATGGATCTCAGAAGTATATTGTGGACAGAATCCCCATTGACCCACACTAATTTAATTTACATTAGTCTGTACATATTTGTTGTTGCCTGGAGGTGTACAGTAATCTTAATGACCTCAGAGCGTTGTAGAAAGCCACAGTCCTTCCATATGTGATCACAAGTATCTCTCCATCAGCTACATACTCCATGCTACTCACGGACGTGTCAAACGTCAGCGTTTTCACTTCCTCTATGGAGCTCCGGTCCCACAGCCTGGAGACACACAATACTAAAGTCATAAAACACAGTATTGCGAGATCTAACATTGATCTTTTTCCCTTTAATAAATCAAGTAATTTAAAAAATGCATTTTGTATTTACTCTGGTCTTAACGATCATGACCAAGAAACGCAGATCATGTGAGTAACCGTAATACTTTGAACCTGGTTGTTTTTATTGTCTGCTTGACTCAGCACTATAACAACACATGGACGAAGGCATCCAAGATGCGCTTCTTTGTAGTCCATCTTTAGAGAAATAGTAGTTTTGCAGCTTCTCACTGACGTTACTAACAGGCATCTCCTGTCGCATCATAACTACGAAGCTTAGTGAAAGCAGGGTTGGATTCCCTAAAAGCCACAGCTGTCTTTTCTTAACTCTTCATGAATTCTCCTAACCAGCTTTCCTTGACCCTGTGACATTTTCCACAGAGGTCAAGGAACAGTAGTTAAGGATAGACGGTCATTTTTGTTTGACAATGAGTCCAGCCATGGCCTGAATTGCAAAAGCTCCTGCGGACCATCCTCGGCATGTTGGGAAAAAGATGCCAGAAGTGATGCGGAAATACTTTGCTTGCATTCCAAAGCCATGTATAATTATTGCTATGATGGCACCATGTAGTTTTCATTAATATCATGCTGTTAGCTAATACTAACATCAATGACAATTGTTTTCAAAAAGCTTGGCAAGAACAAGCTGGTAAAAAAGGGAACCATACAGATTACTACTATAGATAAATATACCAGTATCGTTTTGTATTTGTATTATCATATACATTGTATTTGTGGTATTGTATCCAATTGTAAGTATCGGGTATTATGATATTTATGGAAGGTATTGTATCAAAGTCAGAATTTTGGTATCATGACAACTATTAGACAGTTTGAAACACAAACAAAAGGTAAAGAACTTTACCGACCGTATGGTTTTATCATCAGCAGCAGAGAGGATTTGCTTGTCGTTGTTACACCACAAGGCTTTTTTTATGGCTGAGGAGTGACCTGCAATCTCCTGAGGTGCTTAGGGACACAAACATGCCACAGTACACTACATTAGAGAACAAATAAATAAACACACATTTCAGTTGCGTCAATTCTTCAATTTTTACAATGCACAGGTAAAAAGACTTCCCCACGCCACTAAAGGCTGACTCATGCTTCTGTGTCTGCGTCTTTACGCACAGTCGTGTTGACGCACTTGTTTCAATTCATGGTTCAAAAAGGTTTGCGCATGTCGCAAAGCAATTCACCGCCAGAACAGTATTGTGGAGTAACAGGTTTTTTGTTGATTGTTTGAGATCTCCCCTTAATAATGGCGGTATTGTGCTATGAAACCGGAAATGTGAGACTTCGGAAAGGATGTAGTTAGCAGACCAATCACAGCCTTGCGGGCTGCAGTAGGCTTGCATAGCTTTTGACGCTAGTCTAGAAAAATGGGTCGACGCACGCAAGCATGCAAGGACGCAAGGAGGGGTGAAAAAGCATGCAAGGAGCGCGTAAGGGACGCGCAAGGGGCTCTTGCGTCTGCGTGTCCTTCTCTCTGAAAACGCAGAAGCATAAACTAGGCTTTAAGTGGAAAGGCGATTCCGTCTCCAGTAGGGAGCAGCATATTCTTCATCATACAGAGAAGAATCTACAGCCTAAAGGGGAGGCAGATCGTAAACCTCACAAAACAATCAAATACTACATGTATCCAAATGCAATGTGTGCAACTTTCCTCTGTGACACATTGGCATACCTGCTTCAGGGTTGCTGAGATCGTAGATACGAAGCAACTTGTCATTTCCACCGGTCAACAGACAGTTGCTGTCCTGAGGAAAGTAAGAAGAATATTGAGAGACAACATCCCCCCCCCAAAAAAAACATATAATGTACCTCCTTGCTGATCTATATTCAGATGTTACACTGACCTGGGTAAAGGTGACTGTCTTAACAATGTGTTTGTGTGCCAGTGAGAGGACCTCGTCTCCACTGACCGCATCCCACACTTTTCTGAAACGCACACAATAAATCTTTGTTAGAACTCTTATTTGACACTGTTGTAAAATGAACAGGACATTTAATATATTCTTGCAAGCATGGAGCAGAGTTGAACCACATTAAAGTCATGATTCAAGACAACTCAAATTATTCTTCCTTTCCTCAGTTATATAAGGTGAGAAACATCAGTGTCCCCCAGCTCAGGGGATGGAAGGTCTGGATCAGTTTCCACTGGTCGCCTCCACATCAGGAGAGAGATAGCATTGTTATCCACGATTAAAAGAGATGGAAGAGAAACTTTTGTTCACAAATCATCCTCAAACATCAGTTTATCTCAGGAACACCATGCATCAGATCAAGAGGTCATAGACCTTCTGTCCATTCAAAATGAACCTTATTTTTATTTTTTCCCAACAATCTTTTAATTGGCAACAGACAACATTGCTGCATACTGGATGAACATTCATCTTTGCATGTAGTGCTTTTTAAAGCAGCTTTATTCAACTATTTCAAAAAGCAAAACAGAAAAGCTACGGACGGAGGATATGCTTAGAAGAAATAAAATAAAAAGTTTGTTTTGATGCATTTGATATGTAACCAACAGTCTTGTTTATTGTAACCAGCGACCGTATTAGCACTGCAGAGGAGTGATGTAGACGTCCTACATGGCTCTGGAAACAGTCAAATTAAAATATGTTTGAGTGTACTAGCAACTCCGACTCTGTGAAACCAGGTGCAGTGTCTACCCCTCTATATTGATTCTCATGATTGTTTGATTATATGACTTTATTCCTCCTAGGATCACAGCTATTATTATGGTCACACCAAGGGCTGTTACCATGGTTATACCCCTCTCAAATGGGAACCACCTGGATATAGCTTCATGATACAGGACAAATACGACCTCTTTCAACACATGTTTTGCATATTTTGCTGCAATGTACTCGAACAATGAACAGTACCAGTTAGTTAACGTGAGCAGTCAGACAGTAATAGGCCGGAGTTTGTAGGCCCCGTACCGGACTCGACTGTCCACTCACGCTGTGAAGTCCGCTGCGGCGGTGGCGGCCTTGGTAGCGTCCGTGTTCAGAGTGGCTCCCCAGACAGCACCTTTGTGACCCAGAAACGTTCCTATCCAGTCCCCTGTGTCTCCCTGGCGCATCATGGGTTTGCCATCTTAAAACAAGAAATGCAACAAGGATACAGTGGTTAACTGAGCGTCCAAGCACAACGCCTGTATGTACAGCAGTCCACGGGTGTCCATGAAATAAGCCATACCGCTTCAAAGTCGGATATTATAAATGTTAAGACACTTTCCCGCTCATATAATGTCCATTGGTCTCACCTTTGCAGGCACTTGATGAGGAAGTAGCCATAAGGAGTGATTCCACTAAAGGCCAAGTCCACCACAGCCCGAGTGTGACTAGAGCAGGTGAGCGAATTCTGTCTCATCGCCATGGTCCTCCAGCCGTGAGGGAGAAGACACTAAGACGCTAGGTGGTACCTTGCTAGCTAGCGTGGTGGGCTACTAAGGCTATGAATAATGGCAAGAACAAGTCTTGCTTTCTATTTAGGCAAGTAATTTCCGCTAGCTAGCAGTTGGCTGCTGGTTAGAAAGCAAATTAGTTAGTAACGTTAATACCACCGTACGTTGGTCAAAATAAACGGCGGATCTCCCTCCCAGCAAATGAATGGCTATCGTGCTATAGCTACAACATTGCAACTAACTAGCAACCTGCAACGCGGCGTAGCTATCGCAGAGATATTGTAACCGGCGTTCCGCCAGCCACAACAAAGGTAATACTTCCGGTGTGACGTTATTCACAATAAAGGACTAACCTATTCGAAGGATCACTGGCTGACTGGGAAATATGTGTCCAACTTTTTAGACACAGTTAGATAAATATCCAGATGAATAAATGAGAAACAAAATTAAATTAAATTAATTTTATTTTGTATAGCACAAAATTACTAATTAATTTGCTTTAGAGGGCTTTACAGTCTGCACACATGCAAGATCCTCTGTCCCAAAACCCTCATATCAGCAGAGAAAAAACTCCCCCATTCCACAGGGAGAAAAAAGGAAGAACCTTAGGGAAAACGGCAGTGGATCTGTATGTGTACAGAATGAACAACGTATAAGACCGACAGAACGTCCAATTCATACAGTATACCAACTTCTTTTATAAACTTCTACCAGAAATTGCAAATGAAAACTAAGTATAGGTACTATATATATATATATATATATATATATATATATATATATATATATATATATATATATATAGTATATATACTCAGTTAGGAATACAAAGTAAATCTGAATTCAAGGTCACAGAAGAGTACATAGACAAAGGCCTTATGAACAGACAACTGTACCAATGTCTCCACAGCGGGGACTGGTAGTGCGAAGTGCTAAACTTTATATTTACAAACCCAAGATGATTACATTTTCAGACATGTTAACCCGGCAGATACATTTATACATAAGATTTCTTAATACAGCTTTAAAAGTATTAACTCCCGCAGTCACAAACATTTCACTGGCACTACACCATCTTGGTCTCTTTAGTAATATTTGCATGGCATCATTATAAGCCAGTTGCTTTTACGCACACAACAGAAATGATTCAAATATTGAGAGTTATCAGCCAGTTCTAAGGCAGGAACCACTGCATGAACAACCACCATCAGATGTAACCACCATCCACAGAAACCTGTGGGGAGGGAAAGCACAAAGACTTCAGGAAAGAAGCAAAGTCAGTAACGTGGATTTGTGATTACAGTAATAGTAACCAGGAATCAGGAATCGGGAAACATTTATTACCAAAATATGTCAGACATTTAAGGAATTTGTCTTGACGACCACTGCTGATGGACTGAGAGGCAGAGACATGTTTCCCCAGCTTCATGAAGTTTCTCAGAGTACATTTGTTTAGCATCTCTCACCGCCTTGCTGAACCTGTATTTTGACTCTGTGTATAAGTCTTTGTCCCCACTTCTAAATGCCTGATCCTTCTGCAGTCGTAGCTTTCTGAGTTCCGCTGTAAACCAGGGTTTGTCGTTGTTGTACCTCCCCTTGGTGCATGATGGTACACAGCTGTCCTCACAGAAGCCAATGTAAGAAGTCACAGCCTCTGTGAACTCATCCATACTGTTGGTAGCAGTCCTGAAAACATCCCAGTCTGTGCAGTCCAAGCACGTCCGAAGATCCTCCAGCGCCTCACTGGTCCACTTCTTGAATTCCCTCATCACAGGTTTGCAGACCTTGAGTTTCTGTCTGTATGCATTAAACCACAAATACTCTGTGGAACAAACAAAGGTAGTGATGTGCATTTAATTCATGTTGACAGGAATAGTAATGGGACTAATACTGTGTTTTGCGCAGTTGTGTCAATGGACTCGTTTCAATTCATGGTTCTAAAAGGCTTGCGTGTGTTGCAGAGCTATCCACCGCCAGAACACTAGGTAGAGAACTAGAAAAGGCATTTCCTGCTGAAAATGCGTTGGAATGCAAAAAGCTGAAGGCTAAAATGAACTTTTTAAAATAGCTGAAAATACAGAAAGTTGAAGGGAATTTGAATACATTTGCTGAAATTACAGATATTAGAAAAGCTGAAATGAATTTGAAATTGCTGAAAATACAGAAATGGGAGAAGCTGAAAGGAATTTCAATAGATTTGCTGAAAAAGCAGAAATGAAAACAGCTGAAATAAATGTGAAATATTGAAAAACAAAACAGAAGTTGCAGGAGCTTAAATGAATTTTAAAAAGTACAGAAATAACAAAAGCTGAGATGAATAAAAAGAGGTTTAAAATTGTTTGTAGTAATATTAGTAGTAGTAGTAGTTATAGTTGTAATTGTGGTATTAGTAGTACTAGCAGTAGAAGTTGGTTTTGTATCAATAGCAGTAGAAACAGCTGTAATACTAACACTATTAGCCATAGTAGTATTTGTAATAACAGTAGTAGTAGTTGTATTATTAATAGCAGTAGAAATACTAGTAGTATGGTAGTAGAAGTATCAGTTGTAGTACTAGAAGTACGAGTAATATTCGTAGTGGGAGACAGAATGTTTGTTATTCAAACTAAGACGTTTTTAATTAATAGGCCTCATCACAAACATTACAGTAAAAATTCCCTCCATGGGGCTTTTATTTTGAAATTATTGGATTGGGTGGGGTGGGGGGGTGTAGATAGAGGGAGGGAGAGTGAGAGGGTGAGGAAGGGAGGGGTGGTGAGGAAGAGATAGAGGGAGAGAGAGAGAGGAGGAGAAATAGACAGACTGACTTAGTGAGTGATTAACAGTGAGTAGAGGTCAGGGTGGAGGGGGGGAGGGGGGCTAGTGTCTTTATCATGTTGGTCTGTTGACAGAAAGCATATCTGCGTCATGTGACTCCACTAATCAGGTCATAGGAGCAGCTGTGAGTCACAGACAGATCTTGCAGCGTGTGAGCGAGTAACCACGGCAACGGCGCACCTGTGATCATTAACGAGCTGCTGCAAAGGGCAGACACAGGACAGCGAGTTACCCAGAATCCACACCTCAAACAAATGACATTCAGCGCAAAACTATAACAGCTATCTAAAAAATACGGTGTTTTTATGAGACCCAAGACTCTACCGAACGCATGGATGTGTGTTTTATGTCTGTCCGGTAATAAATACGGCTCCTATGGCCGTTGACAAAACGTGTACCTTCTGGTACACTTCATTTTTTGAGAAATATGTCGGCAGATTTGTATTGGAGCCTATGGGGCTTTTGGCAGAGGTTGTGTCACTCTAACACTCCTTAAGCAAAACTAAAGAACTCTGGGATTCCATGAACACATTTATCCAATCAGCACAACCATACCCTCATTAATTTGAAGAAATGAAGCCTCAAGAATGTATACTTTGGCTGTAAGGACAGAAGTTCCATATTTTTTTAACCAGATTCTGGTGCTGCCTCACACTCTAGCCCTCGAGGTCCCCACTCTAGCAGACGCAATCCACACTCATGTAAAAGTCAGAAACGGAGCGAAGAACTAGTGAAACATAATCAGTGATTATGAAAAAAGTACAATAGATATCAAGAAGCAGTCTATTTTTCATAAAATAGTTGAGACTTGTGTCAACATTTGAAAGTTGAAATGATGTCTGTAGCTGAAAGATTGGCGAAGCTGAAGAATCTGAAAGTTGAAGAAGTTTAAGAGGATTTGAAAAACGATCTCCATTGGAAAACTATGTTAAAATATTAATGATTATAGATTTATATAAATTCAAGCTTAAGAGCTAAAAAGCTGAAAAGTCATAGCTCCCCTCTCCTGAAGGAGCTGAATAATTTAATATTTGAAAGGCGGCGCGGAAGAAATAGAGGAATAATAAGTCGGAAATAAAGATTCGAAGAACAATACTTGGAATGCTTAAAGCATTCCAACTAATTACATCTTTGTGTGTGGAAGCCATTGGTTTGTTTATGTACTCCAACGTTTACGGAGATCCTCCATGGATTGGAGGCCATCTGCGCGTCCTTATAGTCGGTCATATTTCCGATCTTCCGACAAAAGCTCTTCAATCTGATTCTGATTCTCTCTTCAAAAATCTTCCTTTTAAAAATAGCGGTATTATGCTATGAAACCGTAAATGTGAGACTCCGGAAGGGATGTAGTTATCAGATTAATCACAGCCTTGTGGGCTGCATGAGGTTTGCGTAGTGTATCACGCTAGTCTAGAAAAATTGGTTGTAAAGGGGTAAAAAAGCATGCAAGGGGCTCTTGCGTGTCCCTGCGTCTCTGAAAACACACAACCATAAATTAGGCTTTAGAAGCAGTAGATGTCAGTAGGACTTCCTGTTTGCGTCATCAGTTTTACCTCCACTGCTCCCGTTGCCTAGCAACCTGCTGCGCTTGAAAGTAAAACCCGAATAACGTAGTAGAGAACAAAATATCCTTCTTATTTCATTTAATTTAGGAAGATATGCTTCACCTCAGGAGCATGATATATTTCAGGCTGAGAGAAGAACATTTTCGTTTTTTTTACATTCCAATGAATTTAATGTACCTTTAGCTAAAAGTAATATTGCGGTCTTAACGCAGAGGAAATCATTACATTACATTACAAGTCAATAAAAACCCCAACAGCAAACACATTTATTAACTTGTATGCAAGGACTTTTCTTATAATGACACCACAAAACAGAGTAGCCGAGTGTGACCAGAGCAGGTGACCGGAGTCTGTCAAGCAAGTTTAGTTTCTTTGTGTATTTATTCTCATTGTTTGTAACGTTACTGACTTAGAAAGTGATATTTCAGCTTCATAATGTGTCTAGCTTACCTGACCTCACTTTGATCAATTTCTGTTCATAATATGAAGTATATAGGCCTACTGCATATGAAACTGAAACTATATATGAAATGAAAATATGAAACTCTCACAGCCTCAGTAGGATGTTAGTCAGCCTCTAAAGTGTGAAAGTGGAGGTGTTTAACTGACTTTTCACTAATAACTACAGATAAGCCGTTAACAGCGCAGCGGCTCCCGGTAACGTGAGCTGCTCGTTGTATATTTGTTATAAATGTGTGTTGGTACATTAATGTTCACAAGAAACAATACATGGACCCAGGGGGGTGCTCAGGTTAGGGGACTGTCTGGGTCAGGGTCTGTATGGGGAGGGGTAAGGGAGGGTGGGCAGCATGACGGAGTTAACGTTATAGCTAAGAGTTTTAGGTATGTGTATTAAAAACACAACATCGGTTACCAACATCACGTCACTTAAGCTTAACTTAATGATTTCATAAACTAAGATGTGATTT